AGGGCTGACGATTAGGTGCGGAATTTTACACGTGACTTCTGCTTAGTGCGCGACGTATTGCCAATGATCTCACAGTAACTGTCCTGGTGTTGCAGATCGGCTCACTCACTCGTCACTTCCCAATGAACCGAAGTAACTGTCCATCCGAAGTCCAAAGTGCGATGGTAGATTATTTGAAGGGTGTTTGTGAGGAAGGTAAGTATCGTAGAAGGCAGAAGTCACGATTAAACTCCCTTTGGACTTCGGATGGACAGTTACTTCGGTCCACTGGGAAGTGACGAGTGAGTGAGCCGATCTGCAACACCAGGACAGTTACTGTGAGCTCATTGGCAATACGTCGCGCACTAAGCAGAAGTCACGTGTTAAATTCCGCACCTAATCGTCAGCCATCGGTAGCTCAGTGTTAGAGCAACGGACCGGAAATTCGTGGACCGGGGTTCGATTCCCCGTCGAGGCAGATTTTCGTGTGGAGTTTATCGTGACTTCTGCCTTCTACAATACTTACGTTCCTCACAAACACCCTTCAAATAAATTCAGGCTGTCGTGATGGAAGATCCAGAGGGGAAAACGTTCACCCCGGAAAATAGACTCTTGAAAATGGCTGTAACTGCATAGGTCAGGTTATTTTTGGGCACGTATATAAGCGCATTGTTACCAACCGAAAGTTGGGCGAAAACGCGAGGTGGCCAGTCCATGACTTGGCATAGAGGCATGAAGAAAGTGACTGAGAGATTTGGTCAGATTGGCGCGTGCCGTCCTCGTGGATGGGGGCCTCGGGATGGTCCACACCAATGGTTGGAGACCGTAACAGACATGGCCCAGTCACGCAGTCCGCGGTGTTCCTGCCCTCGGTTTCTTGTATCTGGTTGTTAATTTAACTGTTAACTTAATGCACTTCCTCATTGCTTCCAGTTTCTGTACATTATATCTGCATTCAACCCCACTATCTTGACGTTGTTGTTTAGGGTTATTCTTCCGATGTATGTCGTGGCAACTAGATCCACAGCAACTCTGTGCTCCGATCATAGCTGTTCAACTGAATTGCACTGAAGCTCCTTTATGGCACTCGCCGTCTGAGATAATTTTCATCCGTGTGGACAGGCTCCCATCCCTGTACGTCAAACGACGGCGTAAACTCAAGGAAAAACGTCTAAAGTAGATAGCGCGCTTCAGTAACGTCGCTTTCTATCTGTATCAGGGAAGATGTATCGTCTACCATATGTGCTCAAAGCATGCTGTGATAATAACTACTGTGAGCCCTCGCGGATGCCAGAACAAAAAGCGGAATAGCTCGCCATGAACCGAATTCAGGCGTGGACGCAGATGAGTAAAATGTTAACTCTATGTATATCCATACTCCCCAGATTACAAATGTCTACATACGCACAGCCTTCGACGATCGGGGAAACGGTGAACAAAACAAGCAACAACTTGCACCGGAAGGAGTGTATCGCGTAGTCCTCAATGAATGTTCAGAGTACTACTGTTAGTTGAGACAAGCTTTGCTCGGCTTCATACAGATTTACACACTGTATAAAAACAACACAACACCAAGGCAATGGAACTAGCTAATACCGGTAACTTCCATGTACCTTAATAAAGTTAGGTCTTGGAGGAAATGGTTATTGAGAGGATTTAAAACAGTTAATTCCCTTTAGTAACTTGAAAAGCACAAGTAGAAGACGAAGTTCGGCAGATGCATGCATTTCGTATCGTCTCATCAGTGCCGATAACGATAACCGGTAAATTTGTACAACAGTTTGTGGGTATAGACATCCATATAAACAAACGCGAGAAAAAGGTGTCTTTCGTCTACAACCACGGTAGCCTGAGACTGATCGATAATTGTTTTTGAACGCAAAGCACTGGCCTAATCCGACTAATGGCAATCGCCTCGGCAAACCGGAGGAGCTGGGAATTAGTATGGCGAAGCAGGATTGTGAACGCCTTGTTGATCTCAATTCGATGACCTGTTGTTAATAAGTGCCTGACGATCGAAGATGCTGGCGGCCTGCGTACACACGTAGTCTGATTTGGGCTTGCTTGCTGAGAGGATGTTGATCCGAACAGGTTCAGACGATCTTCAGCTAGCTTAAAGTGGCTCGTAGTCTACACAAGACACCATGGCCTACTTAGTATATTCAGTACTATCCTCGCTAGACCAATGAATCAAATGTGTGTGAAACCATTTTCGCAACAACGGCGGTACTTCCGGGTGGATTAACTGTGAATTGAGACGGAAATTCCACTTGATGCTGGAAATCTAGCCGTACCTGTCTTTTGCCAAGGAGCGGTTCGCCAAATGTCCAGTTTGCAAAATTATGGTTACAAGTTTTTTTGACGTTCACCCGAAACTCCAGTATTCCATAAGGAAAAATTCCGTCGCCCTTTTGCCACAATTCGATATAATGCCTGATGGCACAAAGCCAACTTAATGTCGTATACAGATGACGGGTCTTTGGCATTAAACATCCTATCCAAACCCATCAACCGTTACAATCCCTTCTGGGCAATTTTACGTGGTAGCCCAGAGGTCGTGGTCTGTCGCTTACAGCATTGAAATGCAACGAGCTTTATTTCTCTCTATTCGCAGGTCGCAATCAGCTAGTCCATAATGAGCGCCAAAAAGTTCACATTAACAGAGGTTGCACTACTAAACTAGTGAAGCACACAAGTAATATAATAGGCCACGACTCCTCTCAGCCATCTCTTATCAGAGCAAAATGAAGTAAGGAAAGCGGTTTACTTTTCTAATCGAAGACGCACTTCTGTTCCAAACATATCCATCCTGCGTTCCAACAACACAAACCGGTTCTCCGCGATCTCTGTTACTTCACTGAAGGGGATTAATCGAGCCAATGGAATTTAGCTCTGAATGCTAATAAAGGTCAGCTATTTACCGATAGTGGTGGTGGAATTGAAATGCAATCTTCGGTGGGATCTCTATCTTTGCAGTGTACTAGTGTAGCCCGACAGAGGTAAGTTCCAAACAGCTGCCTGACTGCCATCTGATGAGTACTGCAGGGATCTGCCGCTCCTACTGCAACGGCGACGATCCCCAGAGGAATGCGGCTTCGCAGCCAGTTGCGTCGAACATGCACTGAATCGGAATCGACTGCGCTGACAAGAGGGACATGCGGCATGAAGCCTATCCCTAACACGTCCCTACGAGTTTTAGATACCAGAATCGGAGTCCCCTGAAAAACCGCTGCATCCCCTGGCCTACCTGACTTGAATCTCAGGCCCATCACCCAGGCCCCAGGCGACCGTCACACTCCACCCGAGCTGTGCTGCCAACAGCACGCCTTGCACGCGAGCTCCGAGAAACCATTCCATAAAGCCGATGTCCAAGCTTCGTTTTGGAACGAGGATCGCCCTGGCCATGGACTAGGGTGCAATGGCGGTAGTGACAAATATAAGCGAAACGTCAGACCAGTAAAATAGGAAATTGGCTGCCGGTTTTCTTGAACTAGTCAGATTGTGCATGTCTGGCGTGTGCACCCCGGCGGCCCACTTACAATGCACCTCGGTCCACACGCAAATAATACATAATGACTAACAGAGGATACCGGGCCCAGCGAAATCCACGCGATTTTGATGCCATTGCCCTTACTAGTTGCTAGCTGATTTACCAATCCTAAGTTTTCTCCCCACCCGACATCTCCGCCAAAAGCTTACCTCACTCAGCCTACTATGAGGAGACCCTTGGACCGAACAGGATACATTCACGAATTCAGAAATTTGGGACATTAGATTTCAACATGGTTTATATCCACTGCTGGTTATGTTGTTTAACTGAGCGTGGATACCAATGTTAGGTGGAATTCTAATATCCAGCAAACTTTGGAATGCATGCAGGAACCCAGCAGACGGATGGCCTACAAACTTGAACCAATTCTACCGCGCAGTTCCACTTAATGGCAACGGATATGAGCAATTCCATCCCCTAAGGGGCCACTAAACACCTTGCAAAACCACATAAACCCAAAGATGCGGTAGATCAAGGGATTATTCCGTGTGGAGGCGCATGGTTTATGCAGGCCGCCTTTGCTTGCTACGTAGCTTGCTAACGTCTGACGAGCACCAAATGAACAAAAACTGGTACGCAAATAAACCTTATGGGCAATGTTGTGCAAACGTATGCTTTGGTGTACCATCCTAACCAAGGATAAGGCGAAAGAATGACGTTGGAATGCGGAGGCGCCTTCACGGATGTCCTTCTTGCGCAAGGGCCGTCGTACTCTTTTCAGTATCTTTTCAACTTTAGCATTGTACCGCCGGAGAGGGTGTAAGAGGTAGTGCACGCAAGATTCGAACACCGGCCGCACGGATGACAGTCTGGCATGCAACCACTAGACTGTTTTCAGGCTATGCGTGGCCCTTATATTTAGCTGAAGAACCGACTGTCAAAGCAAGCTCAAAGATAAGATCACAAACATCAACGAGTTTCTCATGCGTTTTAAAGTTCTGGTAAGTTAGCAACGCTTATTACCGCGACTTTAGCATAACTTTTGCCAGCTTTTGCTTAATTTTTTCACTACTGGTGGTAAATTATATTGTCCACTGCCTCGTCCTCAGCTTCCCTTTATCCGATTACATTCCGCTTTCCAATATATTCCCTTACACTAATAGTTGTAAACGTTCTTATAAACTTGTACGCTGCTGCTTCATGAACTGTCGTTTGTAATATGTTGCCTATTTAAACAACATTACCATCTGTTGCTGTTGCAATAAATTAAATACTCTTTGCTCTTAGATGCAGACAAACGCTGCTACTTTGGTCTTATTATAACTTATGTGCGCTAATTGGAGCATGGCTTCACGACTATTGTCAACCTCGGTTGTACCACCGATATTGCGCACAAATTGCATGTATATTCTTTTACGTGCACCCGACGTTCATGGGACACTAATCGCAGTCGCCGCATTGTCTAATTTGGCTGTCCTCCGTTCGAGTTTTGTCACGCTCCTTCTTCGGCATTGCATTCGTTTTGCCAAACATGTGTAAATCGTGTGCGTCATGTATCCGGATTCTCATGATTGTCTTCAATATTCTCTTCACGGTGAGTCGGCTATCCTCAATTCGGTCTCCTTGCTTCTGATTTGTGCAGACATCTTACGCTTATGGGGTTCCTCGGACCACGAACCATAGCATGCAGCTTGTTTTTATGTATTCTTTTTAAGAATTTAACCAGGCTCTAGTTTCCTAATACGAAAGTACTCGTCCATGCGAGAAGTTGGCCAATCTTTGCGATCTGGTTACTCAATTCGAGTCCTCAGTGTGCTTTGTGGTTGGAATGCTTTAGATTTCGGCTTTAGAGCATAGGCAGGTGTTCTTGAGGCATGCTTTTCGAATACACAAATAGGCACAAATGCTAACAAAGACGCTCTAGAATGTCACTAACTCAAGCAATTGCATTAGCCAGCTATCAGTTCTTGTGCTCGCAAAGTAGATCAGCTAAAATACCACGGAATATAGGTTTTCGCCTAGCGATTGTCCCGTTTCTGGTGCCGGTTAGTGCAAAACAGTCCTCGGCATAGACGTTGCATTGACGTTTCTGCAAAAGAATGAAGCAAGAACAAGCAATCTGCACTTCATTTGTCGGCATTGGATTATACTACATACTCCAGTATAATTACAATATCTGGTAAACGGTCAGACTAACACTTACCTGGGCCCTTTTTGAAGGCTTCTATAGTCCCACCTTCCACTAAATCAAAAGGAATTTTATTCCAGCTAACGCCTCTCTCAAATCCCCTGAGTCTGCGCCATTCCAATCAAAGTAATCCTAAGCTACTTAGACTATCTTCGTACGACGTCCATCGTCGGTCTTCGCTCATCCTGGTTGCAAGTTTCAATCATTTCTATACGTACAACGTCACTACGGAGATACGGTGCCCTGGACTACACAGTGCTCCAGATGTGGCTTAACTATAATGACATCGGTGCATTAGTGTGTAGAGAGCAGGAGTGGAGAGACTTGTCAGCTCAGTCGATTCCGATTCAGTGCATGTTCGACGCAACTGGCTGCGAAACGGCATTCCTCTGGGGATCGTCGCCGTTGCAGTAGGAGCGGCAGATCCCTGCAGTACTCATCAGATGGCAGTCAAGCAGCTGTTTGGAACTTACCTCTGTCGGGCTACACTAGTACACTGCAAAGACAGAGATCCCGCGGAAGATTGCATTTCAATTCCACCACCACTATCGGTCAATAGCTGACCTTTATTGGCATTCAGAGCTAAATTCCATTGGCTCGATTAATCCCCTTCAGTGAAGTAACAGAGATCGCGGAGAACCGGTTTGTGTTGTTGGAACGCAGGATGGATATGTTTGGAACAGAAGTGCGTCTTCGATTAGAAAAGTAAACCGCTTTCCTTACTTCATTTTGCTCTGATAAGAGATGGCTGAGAGGAGTCGTGGCTTATTATATTACTTGTGCGCTTCACTAGTTTAGTAGTGCAACCTCTGTTAATGTGAACTTTTTGGCGCTCATTATGGACTAGCTGATTGCGACCTGCGAATAGAGAGAAATAAAGCTCGTTGCATTTCAATGCTGTAAGCGACAGACCACGACCTCTGGGCTACCACGTAAAATTGCCCAGAAGGGATTGTAACGGTTGGTGGGTTTGGATAGGATGTTTAATGCCAAAGACCCGTCATCTGTACACGACATTAAGATGGTTTTGTGCCATCAGGCATTATATCGAATTGTGGCAAAAGGGCGACGGAATTTTTCCTTATGGAATACTGGAGTTTCGGGTGAGCGTCAAATACTTGTAACCATAATTTTGCAAACTGGACATTTGGCGAACCGCTCCTTAGCAAAAGTCAGGTACGGCTGGATTTCCAGCATCAAGTGGAAGTTCCGTCTCAATTCACAGTTAATCCACCCGGAAGTACCGCCGTTGTTGCGAAAATGGTTTCACACACATTTGATTCATTGGTCTAGCGAGGATAGTACTGAATATACTAAGTAGGCCATGGTGTCTTGTGTAGACTACGAGCCACTTTAAGCTAGCTGAAGATCGTCTGAACCTGTTCGGATCAACATCCTCTCAGCAAGCAAGCCCAAATCAGACTACGTGTGTACGCAGGCCGCCAGCATCTTCGATCGTCAGGCACTTATTAACAACAGGTCATCGAATTGAGGTCAACAAGGCGTTCACAATCCTGCTTCGCCATACTAATTCCCAGCTCCTCCGGTTTGCCGAGGCGATTGCCATTAGTCGGATTAGGCCAGTGCTTTGCGTTCAAAAACAATTATCGATCAGCCTCAGGCTACTCTGGTTGTAGACGAAAGACACCTTTTTCTCGCGTTTGTTTATATGGATGTCTATACCCACAAACTGTTGTACAAATTTACCGGTTATCGTTATCGGCACTGATGAGACGATACGAAATGCATGCATCTGCCGAACTTCGTCTTCTACTTGTGCTTTTCAAGTTACTAAAGGGAATTAACTGTTTTAAATCCTCTCAATAACCATTTCCTCCAAGACCTAACTTTATTAAGGTACATGGAAATTACCGGTATTAGCTAGTTCCATTGCCTTGGTGTTGTGTTGTTTTTTATACAGTGTGTAAATCTGTATGAAGCCGAGCAAAGCTTGTCTCAACTAACAGTAGTACTCTGAACATTCATTGAGGACTACGCGATACATTCCTTCCGGTGCACGTTGTTGCTTGTTTTGTTCACCGTTTCCCCGATCGTCGAAGGCTGTGCGTATGTAGACATTTGTAATCTGGGGAGTATGGATATACATAGAGTTAACATTTTACTCATCTGCGTCCACGCCTGAATTCGGTTCATGGCAAGCTATTCCGCTTTTTGTTCTGGCATCCGCGAGGGCTCACAGTAGTTATTATCACAGCATGCTTTGAGCATATATGGTAGACGATACATCTTCCCTGATACAGATAGAAAGCGACGTTACTGAAGCGCGCTATCTACTTTAGACGTTTTTCCTTGAGTTTACGCCGTCGTTTGACGTACAGGGATGGGAGCCTGTCCACACGGATGAAAATTATCTCAGACGGCGAGTGCCATAAAGGAGTTTCAGTGCAATTCAGTTGAACAGCTATGATCGGAGCACCGAGTTGCTGTGGATCTAGTTGCCACGACATACATCGCAAGAATAACCCTAAACAACAACGGCAAGATAGTGGGGTTGAATGCAGATATAATGTAAAGAAACTGGAAGCAATGAGGAAGTGCACTAAGTTAACAGTTAAATTAACAACCAGATACAAGAAACCGAAGGCAGGAACTCCGCGGACTGCGTGACGGGGCCATGTCTGTTACGGTCTCCAACCATTGGTGTGGACCATCCCGAGGCCCCCATCTACGAGGACGGCACGCGCCAGTCTGATCAAATCTTTCAGTCACTTTCTTCATGCCTCTATGCCAAGTCATGGACTGGCCACCTCGCGTTTTCGCCCAACTTTCAGTTGGTAACAATGCGCTTATATACGTGCCCAAAAATAACCTGACCTATGCAGTTACAGCCATTTTGAAGAGTCTATTTTCCGGGGTGAACGTTTTCTCCTCTGGATCTTCCATCACGACCGCCTGAATTTATTTGAAGGGTGTTTGTGAGGAACGTAAGTATCTGTAGAAGGCAGAAGTCACGATTAAACTCCACACGAAAATCTGCCTCGACGGGGAATCGAACCCCGGTCCACGAATTTCCGGTCCGTTGCTCTACCACTGAGCTACCGAGGGCTGACGATTAGGTGCGGAATTTAACACGTGACTTCTGCTTAGTGCGCGACGTATTGCCAATGAGCTCACAGTAACTGTCCTGGTGTTGCAGATCGGCTCACTCACTCGTCACTTCCCAGTGGACCGAAGTAACTGTCCATCCGAAGTTTAATCGTGACTTCTGCCTTCTACGATACTTACGTTCCTCACAAACACCCTTCAAATAATCTACCATCGCCCTTTGGACTTCGGATGTTGTCTACACGAGGTGTAGGCGCCTTGACCCTGAGTATTTGTTTATGGCATTAAGGTTTTCAGGTAAGTCCCCCTTCTCTCCCTCTTTTTATACTTTATTTCATAGGTCCTCATGGTTGTATTGCAGCGAAGCATCAGTTCAAATGGCTGATGTACTGCTGTTGATGATGATGACCTCGCAGTATACCCAGCCATCGCGCTACTTGGTGTTTGCGTGGCAGCATATTGTCTTCACGGTGTGCCGGCGTATTGTTGATGGCTTTCATCTCTTTTTTCGATCCAGCAATATTCTCTAATATTTTTGTTTTTTGGATGTGACGCGTTATGAGGAGAGACGACTACTTTTCGTTGACGCTCACCACGAGGGGTTAACGTAGATGATCACACCCACTTCGGTCTCGGTATGCAAATGAGCGGTTTCTCCGTGCAACTGCATCGTCCGTGTCTCCCTAATGCCAGGTCTGCTGTAGTTTACTCACGCTTAGCTTCACGTATTCTTGACTGCTGATTGCATTCGTGTTGCAAAGTTCCCCCTGTTGTTATCGTTAGTGGCGTCTACGTGTGACAAAGTAAATGGGCACGAGTGACTCGGAACAACCGTACTTTGAAATGTACAACCGAGAGCAACATGAAGTCCTTTTCAATACATCGGTTACGACGTGCACATGTCAAACACTGATATTCAACCATATCGATTTTTTGCAGACACGAGTATTTCAGCCTCCGATTGGCTTTTTAACCCTATGCCTTTCTCAGTGACCCATTTTTGTTTGGCTCGCGTCTCGCATCAGTGAGCCTGCTATTCGTCTGTATCTTCTGTTGTGTTTGAAAAGTGCGTAGTGTGTATGATTGGGAAAACAGCTAGTTGTCTGTAACTACGTTAATATTACACTTCTTGATCAACAAATGGCAGTTGTATCCTTTGGTTCATCCAATCGATATATCTCCGAGACTCTTGGCAACCAACACCTTTCAGTCACGGCGCGTCCAATGCCACTTCATTACACACTCGTTAGAATCTAGCGGTCTTCATCTTACGATGTATATATATATATATACATATATATATGCATATATATATATATATATATATATATATATATATA